GCAGTGCAGTCACAGGCCATACCGCTGGCGCTAGAAGGCCGTGATATTCTGGCTAGATCAGGCACAGGCACAGGAAAGACAGCCGCCTACCTTCTTCCCATTCTACACAAAATACTGCAACGGAAGCAGACATCACTCATCCTGGCTCCAACAAGGGAGTTATGCCAGCAGATTGCCAATGTCGCCAAATCCCTCGCACAACACTGCGGTCAGGAGATCAGGGTACGGAACATTGCGGGGAAGGAGTCTGACGCCGTCGTGAAGGCAGCACTCGCCGATAAGCCAGAAGTGGTTGTGGCTACGCCAGCGAGGGCATGGACCAACATCAATAACTCTACATTGACTGTCAGCGACCTTGGTACGCTGGTTGTGGACGAAGGTGATTTGATAAACGGCTATGGTTTTGCCGAGGATATGACCAACATCGCTCGTGAGATACCCGTTGGCGTGCAAAAGATTGTTCTCTCGGCTACTCTCTCCACCGACGTCGAGGCTCTCGGCAGCCTGCTGTGTACCGATCCTGTCATTCTCAAACTTGCCGATCTTGACAAAGACTCGAAAAGGGTAAGCCATACTCGCATATACAGCTTAGACATACATACTGATACATCGCAGGTGAAGCAATACGTTTTGAAGATTGCAGAAGACGAAAAGTTTCTCTTGATCTACGCCATGTTCAAATTGCAGCTGATCAAGGGTAAGACGATTGTCTTCGTTGGTGATGTCGACCGGTCCTATCGAGTTAAGCTCTTCCTCGAACAGTTCGGAATTAAGAGCGCCGTGCTCAATTCAGAACTTCCACTTGCGTCACGCACTCACATCGTAGAGGAATTCAACAAAAACGTGTATAACATTCTCATCGCCAGTGACGAGAATGACGTGGTCGGAGTTCAAGACGAGGACTCGAAGCCAAAGAAGAAGAAAGCAAAGAGGAATAACGACAGCAAAGATTCAGGTGTTTCTCGAGGTATCGACTTCCTGAATGTTGCATGTGTCCTCAACTTTGACTTCCCTGGCAACTACAAGTCCTATTTCCACCGGATAGGAAGGACTGCACGAGCAGGAAAGTCTGGAACCGCCATCTCATTTATAATTCCCAGGGAAAGGTACAGAAAACACAAGCCCACAACTTTTGTCGGATGCGAGAACGACGAGGAAGTTCTTAAAAAGGTCGAGAAGCACCAGCAAGAAGGTCAAAAGCTAGAAAACTACAACTTCGACATGAAGCGCTTAGAGCCATTCCGATACCGATTCACAGACGCGCTCAAGTCAGTCACGCGAATCGCGATCCGAGAAGCCCGCATCAAAGAAATACACTCAGAGCTTGCCAAATCGCAGAAGCTCTCACGATACGTAAGTTCATTATTTCCCTCCCAAACATTCCGCAGAGTCACTCTAACACCAACCCTAGTTCGAAGAGAACCCGGAAGCCCTCGCCCATCTCCGCCACGACCAGACTCTCAACCACCCCCTCAGGATACAACCCCATCTCAAACACGTCCCAGATTACCTGTTACCTGGTGGTAAGAAACCCGAGGATGTCGGGTTCGTTGGACTCAATCTTCCGAAGCCTGATCGTAAGAGGTTTGTCAAGGGTAGGGGGAGGAAGGTGGTTAAGCGGGGTGGTAAGGTTGACCCGCTGAAGACGTTCAATGCACGGGGTAAAGGGAAGAAACAAAAGTAGATTTGTTAGCGGGATAAAAGAGATGAAAATGGTAGTAGCTAGTATTTTCGAGACGAATATGATGTATATTACCTGCCATGACTTATATGAAAGTCTACTATGGCGCACTTATTGTGCTACTAGAGTAGAAAAAAGTGGTAATGAAAATGCTCACTTGCGCAATAATGTATATCAGAGTTTCCGATATAATACCTCGTTCTTCTGTTTCTGCGTTCCATGTAGTCACTGATGTTAGGATCGAGGTCGGCCGAAGAGCATGGAAGAATGGTGAATGGAGTAGAAGAGTAGAAAACGTGACTGGCGGTTAGTTACTAAACGACTGGAAATGACTTTGGAAATATGAGAATGATGAGATTGGTTCGTATGTGGAGATCAAAAGAACGGATAAAGCAGTGTTATGGGTGAGCCAAACGATTTTCGATCCATAAGTGAAGATAAGTATGCGAGGTGTAATAAGGTGTTATGTTGGAGAGGTAGGGTGCTTTCGGGCATCTTTGTGCAGAGAGGGTTGGTAGGGGAAAGGGACTGGATGGTCATCTGGCGGATTGGGATGGAAGAAGTGCTTGTGTGATGACAAGGTGGTACTTGAATTGTTAGCAATGAGCTCGGTAGTGCGGTTTAGATTTGAAGAGTATGTGTTTGGTGATTGCATGCTGTTTATTTGTTTAGAAATGTGTCGCAATGGGCTTTGAAGCATCACATGATCTCGAGTATAGCTTCTGTCCCCGTAGTAAATGCGTGAATTTTTTTATTTTGGGTCAAGTCGAGTTGGAAGTATGTGTTTTCCAGACGTTTGCGCATGCCGGGAAAGATGTAAAACGACGTTCATATATCACGTGTGTAGTCTCTCCAAGATGAGGGTTTGATGTCTATTCCCTATTTAAGCATGCACAAAATCTAGCAGGAATCACATGTAATGACCAGATTACTATTCTCACGCCGTATGTCAATCAAGAAGCAATTCTTTATCATGGCTGATGATATCATGATACCAAAAGGGTGATGCTTAGATGACAGGGCTGAAAGACAAGTTGTTTGCCAATACGCCTTTGTGTAACCCACTACAAGCAGCCATACTGTCCCATCCTGTCGGATATTGGCTTAAAACAGCTAGTGACACAACATGATCAGCAGGACTACTTCTCGACTGCGAGTAAACACTGGAGCACTGGAGTGCCGGTAGACCCAGAAAACAAGGCAAACGCTCTCGTCGGACCGATAGAACCACTAAACGAAGATCCCGGGTTCCACGAGGCGTCTATTGGTTATGCTTGACCATTCTCCGGCCGCATGGTTGACGCCCCTAAACGGCAGGATTGGGACAAGTACTCAATCAGGCCTCGCCAAGTGTCTTATCTGTGAACGAACTCAAGCCACAAATTTCCGTTCTCTTGAAGATGAACATCATCCGTTGCCCACGGAATTCCTTCAGCTCTCATCTTCGGGACACGAGAAGTGCGCAATGTTGTGAATTCAGAAAGTTGGGATGACAAGGCTGGTGTACAAAGGCTGGTTACACATGTCGTGTAGCCTAAGAAGTGGACTCCCGGCGGCCCGCATTCAACCCCACTTAGTAACCCGCGCCTAGATCCCGCGGGACTGGCACCTTGTCTGCCTGCGGCCTACACAAAGCCGTGGGTTCTCTGAGGCTAAGCGTAAAGGTCGCTGATTAGATGGCTTTCAGTACAACAATCGACGCCGACAGCGCGACTTCTCGAGCATGACCGCGTTCGCATGTGCACATCAAATGTTGTCCTGTGAAACCGCATTCGTCGGGTTCCGAAATGCCTTTTTGCCTTTTCGCGGTGTTTGGTTGTTACCGACAATTAAGGCACGGGATGTGGAAATGAGCCGGTCAATACACTTGTTATGGTACGGCGAGAAGGCAGGACCGCCCATTCAAACGAGATCGGATTCATCCTCCCGCACTGTAGCAACATTTATCTGGTGGTCCACCAACCATTTCGTTCAGATGGCGACATTTCTCCTGGCCGGTCCTCCCGGGACGACAAGCCCAGTTAGGAGACTGTGACATGTTTCAGTACCCGGGAATATTGTGCTGCTTTAGAGAAGGTTGGTTGGTGCTTCCCCCCCAGCCTCGTTCGTATCAAGCCTCAAGGGTAAGTCCAGCGTGAGCGTAACGCGCGTCGCCTGCCAGCTGTAGCCATTAAAAGGTGCATGGTGTCTGAGCGTTGACGTGGGATACACGCCATGCTAGCAGCATGTACTACTGTCATTCGCGTTTGTTCCTATCCTTGCCACACATGCATAGAGCTGACTGTGAGCATTGTTAATTGTGGCCACCAACACAGAGACGTAACCATTTTTGTGTACTGGCCGCGACATGCGTATAGTGGATTCTCGTCCGCGGAATCATGAGAACGACAATATCAGGCGACTTCGCCGTGGGCGTTGTGCAGCGAAGCGTCAACTGACACGTTTGTCGTTTCCCCTGGACAAATAGGAGTTCCGCAGTGCCATTAGGTAGACTTCTATCAGGCCTCCCATGTGTGGGATGTGCCGGTCGCCGGGCCGCTTCTGAGCGGTTGACCGATGCGATGAATATGCAACGCGGCTGCAGACTATGTTATCGCGGGGACTAGATACATATTTGATTGGGGAGATTGTATCTAGAGCCTGTTCGTGATATCATGTGGAACCGTCTTTATTCCTCTAACATTTACATGTTTGAAGGTGGACGCTTCTAGCAAGGCGGGGTAATTTGGAGGAAGGAGGATGACAACTGCTGCACGAGAAAGTGGAAGGGCACCACGCCCTTGTTGTCTAACTCACTTGATCGACCGAGTTTCCCAGCCAAGTGGCTCCCAGACCCACTTACATGCTGAGAGGAGACAACAAAGCTCTTGCTAACAAAGGCATGTGCAAGGAATCAATCGGTTATGGTCGGCGTCACGGCGACAGGGACTGCTCCTCATGTACCCTGTAGCTCAGTGATGAGGCAGAGAGATCCACAGGATGGCTCTCGATACCATCCAGTCTGACAGGCATCAAACATCACGACATGCAATGTGGATTAAGTATATACCCTGGCTCACAGGGATACCTGATACGTCACATTCATTAGATACAATTTGAGCTGCCGTTACGTTGCGGATAACATTATGAGATCGTGATTCAGTCTGATATAGTATGTGCAGATAACGAACGAATGGTAACATCGTGCGAGTTGTAAAAGTAACGTATTGTGGTTAAGAAGGAAAGAGGGCCCTCAATTCTCGGGCATGACGTGACAGACGGGAGCATCGTATCGCACGTGGGCGTTAGTGGCATTGACACGAGGGTGATGCTACGTGTCTTAGTCGCCGGGAGAGTAGTTTTGTGTGTTCCAATAACCCAAGAGCTTGCGAATGTGATCAGGGTGAACGTCGCCAATCTCCTTCACCTTGACGTTGTGCTGAGTAGGGTGGTGGATTCCAAAGAAGATTCGTGATGCTGGAGATAGCGGAGGTACTCCTTGCGCCATCATGATGCCTGATTTGTTCTTCGGTGTTAGAATCTTCCTTCAAAGGGATTGGCGCTTGGGTGACTTGCAGATAGGGTCCTTGTTAAGTGAGCTTTCGCCTTCCAACAGTGAAGGCGTAGAGCCAAGGGAGTAGGCAATCGCATGTGCACTGGGCAATACACCATGTTTCTTTGTGCCCTGGCCACCATACGTGAAGATAGGGCTAGAATTGTCAAAGACATGCGCCAGATTTGATGAGCCACGTCACTTACACGGCGAAGCAAAACCCAAGCCTGGACCTGGGCCCGACTACGATGAAACGTCGGATCTGGCTGTGCACATACTCTCCGTATCTCACAATAGAGATGGAGTTGTTGTATGCAGTCGCTGTCGAGCCAGCCGCTTCACTGAACAAGACTGAGAAGACCTAGCACTTGATGAATAGGAAGTTCACTTCGTGTATAAGTAGGCCACTCTACCTTGCCAACAGTAAAGAAACTGCTGGGTCTGACATAATAAGCTGCACGCAATCAGCATTATTCAATTTACAAGGGGGCTTGCACTATACAGTGGTCCAATGCTTCCAAATGGCTGTTCGGCGCGGGTTGTTTATAGTTATAAGTGCCTCTGATTTCTGGCCCCTCTACAGCCGGGGTAGAAGCCGGCCCTGCTCGAACGCCATGCGGCGAATCGGCGCGAGTGGGTTGGCCTTGAGCTGGAAGCCAGTCAAAGAATACCCAACCCTCTCCTAGATATTGTCGTAGCGTTAGCCTCTAAAAAAAGCAAAGATATGACTGAGGGAAGGTTTACGGACCTTCTACATAGTGGTTTCTGTAATAGCGCCCGTACTGCTCGTCCCAGTGTGTGCGCAAATATCTCTGGTGTTCATCATCCCATACAGGATCAGCCATATTTCAAAAATTTACGCAGTAGTACCAATCAACCCGCGTTGGTTGCGCGACACGGAAGCTGAATTGTCGCGCAAACCACCCCTTTTTAAGTCGAACGAAACAGCCAGTGAAGCCATGAAATGCAGCAGAGCCTCATTCCACATGTGCGAGTGAGTTGCCGAGTTCATCAATCAATATAGGGACGTTACCGATGCATCAGTACGGATTTCGGCGCTCCAGGCTGGGGATGCGCGAAGAGGACTCATCGAAGCCAAGAGGTGGCTGAAATCAGGCCGGGTGACAATCAGTAACACATATGCATGCATTCGCAGGGGGCTTGCATTTGCAGGGGGCTTGCATGAGAAGGGTATAAGGCAGCAAGAAGACTAACCCTATCAGTCTTAGAGAAGTCACCCCATGTCCTTTCACTCTGGGCAATAAGATACTATCCCTCGGAAGGTTTCAAGAAACCCTACTAACATCGACCTGTCGCTCTAGATGGCTTCGCGATCACGGAGACGCCCAGGCAACGTGTCGATTGCTTTTCTGCCAAAGCGCAGAAAACTCGGTGTGCAAACAAAGAAATTACACGTGGAACGAGAACACTAATGAGTATCTAGCGAAATGGCTTCAGTCCCTTTATGTTTCGATCGATCCCCGTGGCAAAGCGACAGATTTCACAAATGACACCAGCAGTGAAGAGAAAGACATTGCCTCGATCGAAATCCAAACTCCCCCCAACAACCATCCACATACCAGTATGCGCACACATGAACGAGGAGATGACCCACCTGTACGGCCTTCAGACATGGGTCGCTATGCCAACCTCCCACCACCTCCACCGCCTCCCCAATCTGCTATTTCACCCCAGATAGTGGGTGCGATGCCAGCAAGGAAACCCGGCGTTCCGACTGAAGGAATTCCATCACGTGAATTCTCCGAAATCGAAAGACAACATGAAGAGCTGGTGATTGAAAGGGAGAATCTTATGGGTTCTCGATTTCAGATGCAGATGGATAGACAGAAGATATCTGAGACACGCGAGAAAACTGGTATTCAAGAAGGATTGGTGATGGATCAATTGCGTACCTTCCTATACAAGCAAGCAATCACCTTGCCCCAAGATATAGCGGAAACATTTGAGCTGATTGATACTTTCCGAGACCAGCTAGGCTCACTGGAGGCCGAATATGATCACACGGAACAAAACTACACACTGAATGAGTTGAAGTACTCTAGGAAAGAGTCAGAATTCATCGACAAGTTGAAGAGCTTTCACTCAAACAGCTCTCCTGTTTCTGTAACTGAGAAAATTCCAGTAGATCGGGGTGCCTTGCAAGTGACTCCTGCAACTGTGGATAGCTTGGAAATCGTCAACCAGAACAACCAAATCGCCAATTCGACTCCACATGAGAAGGCTCTACAACTAGCTTTGCAGCGTCAAGTGAAGTCCAATACCCAAGAGGATGACGACTCACACACGGAAAACTTTCGTCTACTCTCAAATAATGACCGTATGGACACGTGGCTCGTTGATATTTTGTTTCAACCCTATCTACCAATGGACTACCCTGAAGACGAGGAGCCGATTAGTGGTCCGACACACGGGTCTCCGCTGAAAGATATCCCTGATGGCTGGCGCTGTATTTTTGCCTTTGGGGCGCAATTCGAAAGTAAGAATTTGAAGGGTACTCATGACATATCTCAAGAGCAAGGCATCACAGGATCCAATCCTATCTCTCTCTCACATGATCTGTTCGTAATAAGGCGACATGACATATTTCACGACAGATTGCCGACGGTTACAAAGGAATTCCAGGGGGAACAAAGCAATTCCTGGAAATTACCGCACTTGGAATGCCCGTTTAGGAACAAAGCGTATAATTTCAAAGGCTATGACACATACGGACCTTTCACTAGCGAGAGAATAGGCCTACCAAGGAGCTCCAGTACCCATTCGGTACCGACTGGGTTGCAAGTCTTACGAACACGCCAGTCGTTTCACAGTTTTCCTCACAAAGTGGAAGTTGAGGACCGCCGCGACTCCAAAGTCAGCTCACAAGGAACACTGAAGAGTGGGACCTGGCCATTGAGACTATATCGTACGGTAGACGCATCACCAGCCACGCCATCCTGGGGGGTTATCAAGAATCTGATCGACCCTCGAATTTTCCAGAGCTCCAACCACGGGAATGAACGTCCCACACGAGAGAGATGGATTCTTCCCCACCGATTCCTCCAGCATAATGCTGGATAAAACCACCCAGAGACAGCCGAGTCGAGCCAAGGAAAACTACCTGTCTGCTACCTCAGATTTTGTGATGCTATACACAGGGGTATCCAAGCCTCGACTCGAGCAACCCCCTATTTCGGACTTTCGTTGCACACGCAGCCTCACATATGCTTGTACTTTCTTTCTTTGGGTAGCGTTCTTATTGGTTGCCTCATTTTAATTGGACAGCGTTAGTCGGCTAACATGAAAACAGGGCATGGGTTTCCACAAGAGATGTGTTGTCACAATATTTGCTTTGTACACTGTGTATACTACGTATTGAATCAATTTTCTTGCAAAGATCCCAATACCGCGGCTTGGCTATACTATAGGTGTAGGGTTTTGGTTCGGCCACGTTACCACCTGCTACTGCATGGATCATCGTGGAACAAGCCTATCTTTTCCAACAAGTACCATCACTGCACGGTGTCTGAAGGCACTCCTGTGATACTGGATCTTGACCATTTGAAATGCGGCATTATCTTAGTTTCAGGCTGCACAGAAGTGAGGCATCTGTGGCCTTGTAAGGATGCCCCTTCAACCCTGTTTTTGATGTAATTCTGCGTATCACACTGTGCAAGGATCGGTTTCAGATCAAGAGAACCGAATTTTTCCTGGTTGGCAGGTTTACACTCGCACAACCATCATCCAGATCGATGATGTAGTTTCTGGCATACGCACCTACTGCCTAGCCTTTTCCAATGAGTCAAGTATGGCCTATGAACAGAGTCATGACACTGTGGATAAGTGATTGATCGACATGATTGGATACATCTACAACGGGCTTGCAGAGGACTAAATCTGCTATATATCAATCGTGGACCATCATTCACCGTCTTTGTTCAGCTTTTGCGCAAGAAATTGAGGAGGCGTACGGCCACTCAATCAGGCTGAGGGATCTAGCCAAGGTAGATGCAACTAGTCAATTTATCAACTAGTCTTATCCTAAGTACACGTTTGTTTTTACCGACTGCATGGCCACTTCCTGCAGTTTGTATGGCCTCTCGTTGATTGCCTTTTTGCTACCTCATTCTCTCTCTATAGTCCAATGATAAATATGAGGGTATGGATGATGGAATGATGTCGACTTAAGGTTTTTTATAGTGGCAAAAACGACAGTTTGAGTTTAGTTTGCTGCAATGGTATCCATTTCCAGATATTTTGGTGATTCCTGAGGCCACCGGTGAAGAGATTTGGGAAGAGCGGAAAAAAAAAGAAAAGCACATGGGTAGCGGGATGTGGGTACCGGACCTCGGGGAAGCCCCGCTTCACCTGCAGGCATGACCCGCAGGTCTTGATACGCGAATCACGGATGTGTGTGGGGTTTGGTCTTCCTATTGGTTTGCGATACGATGAGAGTATCTTGGAATCACCCCCTTAATCACGAGTTTATGGAGCCTATCCCATGGCGATTTCGTTCGTGTGAGTGCGCATTTGCACAGAACCAACTTTTAGAGCAAGCTTCAATCTTTCAATGAACTTACAGGCTTATCTTGCGTTGCGTTTACCTACATGGAGCGACAGCTGCAGTATGTCGGTCGTTGACCAATGGCAGACTTGCACCCATGGAGGGGGTATTTCGTGACGCAAAGCTGAAGAAAATGCTTCGAACAATTACTGGTGAATTACAGCTATGAACGCATACAACCAGTAAAGTTGTTTTTCTGTGTAAAAGCGGCGACCTTGATTAGCGCCTGCTTCGCAGACTGTCCAAGCTTGCATCGAGTAGTGCTATGGCTATTGGCGTACAGCACATCTTGCATGTTGGCGACTCAGCCTTGCATATCAGCTCGCGGCCCAAGAAGCGCTACACCACCCGATTGCGATCACAAGGTCGGGTATGTGTCGGAATGCTGTGCCGTTGGTATCGATAGACATCTATGATTGGGTCGACTTTCCGATTAATCAATCGATTGGATAAGAATAAAAGATACTGTATGCTATACAAATATTCCATATGGCTAGAAGTCTCAGACACTAATGACAGATGTCCAATTCAAGAGCGATGTTACTGCGCTTACATTGCATTCTGCCACTTCTGCCTGCATATCCTCATGCATTCACCGTTCTCAGTGCATACTCCGGGACTCGTCACGATACCTTATTTTGCATTCCATCTTGGAGTAATCCCTGTCGTTAAGGTGTCGCTTTAAAACGACAACGGCGTCTGCACGCGGGAGTGGTGTGCAGTCTCCACATTAATGTACCCCACGTGGTAAAACCTCAAGTCGTATTCCATCCGTAGAAGCCTGGAGTGATGCGTGGGGTCATGAGACTGGTGCAGCTGTGAACATGTGGATTAGTTGATCGGTGAAGTGTGTACCAACCACGGAAGGTGTGTCAGGTAGAGTAGGTGACTTTAGGCAGTACTCCTCTCTTCATGGCTGCCTTTCGACCGACCGGCTGAGTACGTTGTGGCAACAATGTTTGGAAGAAATCCTGCACTCTTCAACATTGTTGTCAAATGTGTGAGTCCTAGAGTAGTACGCATCTCAAACTGCCATCTCTTTTATGCTAGGATATGCATGTAGTGTGGAAGTCTCCGGAGTTTGGCTAAGCGCACTGCGATCAAGGATCCGAGAAGGTCGGTGAAACGCAGTATAAGGTCTACAATAGCGAATGACGGACTCATAATCTAGCCTTCTTGCGCAACTGTGTAAGTGTACCCTTACACTAGGTTGTGTCACACACCTCTTGCCTTTTTATGCATGATGCATATGCATGCGCCGTCTATCCCTGATTTGGGCAATGACTCAGTGACTGAAAATCTAGACTTACTAGTGAACCTCGTAAGTCCATATACCGAGCAGAGCCTCAATTATTCGAGGTCTGGCCACCAGATGTGACTCAATCGAATAAGTCAATTTGGATAAGGCTTGAGTTACCGTTAACTCTGGCACTATCTGTAAAACTACAAAATCATTCTCTCGGCATATAAGAGATACGAAGAAAAAACACAACGCGACGAAAAACCAATAAGAGAACCTTTCAAGTTCGATACTATCTGTGAACAACGAGAGTCACATAATATGCCTTTTGTAGAGTATGTCGCATGATTGATTTCTTTCATCTCGATACAATCCCAAGCACCTATGAACTGTAGTTGGTATAAGTCCATAGCGGGCTATTGCATTGATATGTCCTCTTATTTGATGCAAAGTATCTGGTTCTTATATGAAGGTTCATTGTGTACCACCTTGTTAGCTCTTGTTACGTAAATATATCAAGCTAAAACAGTGTTAATGGCTCTCCTGTATGTCATTGAGGAACATGCCTATTTGCAAAGATGTCAATGTCATTGCTCGTAGTGATACTAGAATGCAACACAAAATGTGATAGTCAATAAACTATATTGCAGCTAATCGCTGGTGTATCTCTTAGTAGTGACTTATCGTAAAGCATCTGTACTATTAAGAGGCCCTACTCTAAGACATCTCTGTATAGTTGTCTGTTCGCTTCCTGTCCTTGACTGAGGCCCAACGTTGACCTCAAGCTGAGAGCTTATAAACCACTCGAAATTTTCAATGGACTTCTAATGAAAGGATGTATTCAGACTGCTACAGGAATACCTGTTGATATTCTACTGAGATTTGATAGCAGTTCCTTGAGACACCGCTAGGAGCGCGAGCAGAGCCAGGTAAGGGTCGAAGTTTCACAGATAGTATTTTTCCATCCGATGAATGAATTGTACACCGATCAGTAAGAATTGTAGAAACAAACAGTGTGTACGTTTTTCGTTCCCTGTTACATTCCCCTCGTTCACATATCTCTTTGATGGACCAAATTCCATGTACTCGAACTAGTTGGATAGTGAGCATCAGTTTTGAATTCTGCAAACCCAAGATTCGACACGATACTTGAAGTGGGAATTTCGTGAAATGTTCGGGATTTCTTGTTAGTATCTCGAACTCCAAATTTTTTCCAATTTGTGTTAGCGGGTGCGGTTTGCTGCCACTTCTGGCATCCCATGCTTCTACACGGAACAAATCACTGTGAAAAGAAAACACGGCTTTCATGATGCTTTCACTTCCTATTCTACCCGGTCCTGGACAAATGAGGAGCTTTGTCTTTTGGAGTCGAGACACCAGGTCCCCAAGATAGGGCAAAACAGCTGGGAGGACTTGCAAGCGGAGGCATGCATCCACACCAGACTGTCGTTGTAACAGGAGACAAAAGGCACCCTGCGGATACTTTTTTAGAGTATGATTGAGTATCGCTACATGAGTTACACCGACTCGTGGTGTCGCTCCATCCAAAAATTCCAGCTTGTTGGAAACCTCTTCATAGGCCAACAGCGGAAGCACGGTGGATATTTCGTTACGGAACATGGTAACAGTCGTCATGATTTGTTCATGCCCTTGTGTGCTCCACCTCTCAGATGCCACAATATCGCGGTATCGAAATTTCAGAGGTTGGTTCCACCAATGTTTCTGCGGGGGGCAAAGAATGCAATCCAATTTGTCGCAGAACCTTGTCGGCGAATTGGCCAATAGAGGTTGGTCATATTGGTGTTGGCTATGATGAAATAAGAACATCGAATGGTCGGCTGTGGCATTGTAAATAGTTTCTTGGAGCCTGAAGAAGGCTTTCTCCTGCCCCTCTCCATATAGAAGTGGCATGTTGACGTCAAATAGACCCAGGAGCGAATATGCCTCATCCTCTTCCCTAGTGACATTCCGATGGGAGGCCCATGAAAATCTCTCGGCCGCACTGAAAGAATCAACAGGGTGAACACGAAGGAGAACGTCTGGGTCGATTGAGGTAATGTCTGAAATCTCTTTGTAACGTTCGAATTTGGTGCCGATGGCAGTCCAATCCTCCGCAAAGAACTCGACACGTATTGGCGCAATCAGCTCTTGCAATGTCCAACCACGTGTGAACCATTCGCTTTTAGCGAACGTTTGACCCCAGCCGTTTCCTGAATCAGGAACATCTGCTAGATAAACGTAGCAAATATTTGACTCTACGTAGTATCTCCACATGGAATTGATCGCTTCTTGCAACTCAGCCGAACTAGATTTGTCGATGCAACAACTGTCAATCCAGATCCAATTGTATCCATCATTCAGTGCTAATTTGCAAGCTCCTTGTATTTTTGCAAAGCCCTTTTTTGTCCGCGTCTGGCTTTGTGGATGTGAAATGGGTGCGCTGCTTATATCTGCAAATGTAACCTCTTCAGTGCTCCACCTGTGAGAGAGAATTGCGTAATCCGGAACCTCGCTCGGTACGTAGGGACGGCTAAGCTCAAGAGATGCCGTGTTCAAAAGCCTCATGGTGGTATTAGGTTGATCGGTTTATGGTTGGTCAGGGGTGCGAAAACAATTAGAATATGAAGAGTTGATGTAATCAAGTAAGCTGGGAGCAGGGTAAGGCTTTGATCGCTTGATGAAGCATCTTGGCTTTCGGACCACGGGGCGGTGTATGACACAGCTGTCGCCTAGTACATGGTGTGGCCGTCTGGTGTCGTAGTTCCAGCTGCAGTATATTGCATCACGCCAAAGTGAACATAGCAGGGTCTCCGTCTAGCACAAGGGCGTGCTGTAGAGTATATATTATGGAAATGACTCACTTCAGTATTCTAAAACAACAGAATAGCAGCTTCTCTAATAGAAAAGAAAATCACGAGTTTCCGTCTGTAAAATGCTCAGTATTTCCACTCATGCTAAAGACGGTTTCTAGCGACTAGAAAAACAGAGTACTATATGTGCAAACCAGTAATCAACGTCATAATAGAGTACACGAAGAAAGGTTTCAAGAACGGACAAGGAGTCGGTATTAACAGGTGACATGCTATGCGTAGCATTAGAAGTGTATTCTAAAATCTGTAAATGCTATCACATATAGCGATAAACTAGTCTTGCCCGTAGCTGCGGCACCAGCATTCAAGATATCGACTATCTCTTATCGAAGCACGATTCGCTCCTGACATATACACAGTCGCACGTAACTCCAAAAGGAAAGGCATTTCGAGTCTCTCAACCCACTCTCCAACATCATCCGTCCCAGTTAGTGCAGCACCAACTATTGCATTTCTAAGAATGATCCATCCCGGTATGTATAAGGTAATAGCAAGAGCCAGTGAGCATGTGTATTCTTTATGATGTGAATTGAGAGTAAGCCTTGCTGGTATTTCACTGGGCCACTTACATGTACTTGAGGATGACTAGCAGCTGAACCTTTTACATTAGACTAATATAGAATTTTCCAGTGACCAAGCTCATTACCACGTTAGAACTGAAAACCATTGTTCCTGCAATATGACGATCTGTTATGTCAAGGTAGCGGGCATAGTCCTACACCCTATCATGTTGAGCATCACTGCGCTGCCCCCTCCTGCGCCCTCGATTGCCGAAAAGCATTGACAAGGCTGTCGTTACTTCATCACAATAGCACCATTAGGTACCAAATGCCGTGCGAGCTAAACCAGTTTGATCACCCGAAGGACCATGTGATAGAACGTTAGATTACACATTGAACTTCGTTGATATACACGACTGAAAGCGCTGCAGCGAAACTCACTACTTATCATTTTCCACGTTTAATTCTCTAGTTTACCGTATATAGCCCGACGTATTGATAAAGCAAATTCGAAATCTGGATCTATCGAAGCAGCAACAAGCCAATTCGAAGCCAATGCTACCCCAAAGAAGCAAGGCCATCACCCTCCCATCTCTCTCAAGCCGTCAAATCAACCCAAGCCTTAACAACCCTCTGCCTCGCCGCCCCAAAAGGCTTCTCCCCGTCAACCTCCAGCGTCTGACACTCAAACTCACTTACCACCGTCCCCTTAAACGGCTTCTGTACACCCTCCGTCCAAACACGAATCACCCTATCCGCCATTGCTTCAATCTGAATCCCCCGGAATCCCATCAGCGCCGCCTCGCGCTGCAGCCACCGTGCCGCAGCCCCCATGATACCCCGCCCTTCATAGTCGCCCCGCGTAGACGTCGCATTGCGCATGAGTACCTGGCGCGGCGCAGTGGCCTTCCACGACGCCGGGTCCCGCTGGTCTCGCTTTTCAAGCACGCCGTAGAGAATAGGGAATTCAGGCCAAGCGGCGAGTAAGGGTTTCATTTTCTCGGGGTCAAGCGGCTTGAAGCCATCGTAGCTGAGGATTATGCTTACGAGCGGAAAGTCCATCTGGTCTAGTAACCGTTTCGCTTCTGCTGCGCGGCCTTGCGTCTTTTCGACACTCTGTGTAGCCTGTTCGTCGGCGTCCCAGAGGAGGGCGCCGCCTGTGGCGCGCGCTGCATCGGTTTTGAAGACGTATTCTGTGTCGAAGACGCCAAAGGAGAGACCAGAGTCGATTTGGTGGCGGACTAGGTATTCAAAGTTGAGAGAATTTTCGACGACCCAGCGGCCAAGGTCGCGGTCGGGCCAGATTTTCTGCCAGACATTTGAGTGGAAGCCGTGGCTGTGGGCAAGGATGGCAGTAGCCCAGGGGAGGTGGACGGGTTTTAATTTTCGAATTTCGTAGCGCGGGGCTAGATTCGAGGGGTTGGATGGCGTGGGAACACGGATATTTGTTAGTTCTGACATTTCTAGGAGATTTGGATTTGGATCTCAATAGGTGCGTTCGTGATGATAGCGATATGCTGGCGGTAGGCAGAGTAAAGTTGGACAACAAACTTCCTGGCAGTGTCCTGGGAATTAAGAAAAAGAAAGGAATGCTAGATGGATGCAGATAGCCGATGGCCTTGGTTACACAATATAAGCGACTCGGTAAGTCAATATTGACTGGCCTTGCATAGATCCTGCATGCTAAGGAAAAAGGATTCTTGGGGCTTCTGCATTTGATCTCCTTCATCTTAAACCAATACTAGCAAAACATGGCACGAAAGAACGATTGAGGCAGGATGATTAGGTGAGAATAAGACCTAACTGTCGTTCGCTGAATAGATCTTTTCGGCTAATGGCACTTCATTGATACTATGCTCTCACTGCTGATGTTCAGTCAGACCTACCTATGCATGTGATGTCATGAACTGTAGCGTAATTGGTAAGAATTCCCTCGCCTACATGCACTATAAAGTACTACTGCACCAGTACCCCTGCCATTGAGCCAAGATGCGAATCATACTCCGGCGGAGCGCTGAACGGGACAGAAATATAGATTGTCGTTACAGCACTAAACATTTCAATGGTGAATATCGCATCCTAGAGCATCGCGAGTTTTCCTCATTGAGTTCGAAGCTATATATTATCGACCACTCTTTCCGGCATGTGAAAGAGTCTGCCTAGTGCCGTTGTGGTGATCCTTGATGGGAACGCCAGTTGAGTGGCTCAGAACGATGCGGGATAGTCAAAGCAGTATCAAGGACTCTTAATTTAACCCTTGACCTTCTTGTAGCAACGCAATGCCTTGCTCTTTGAGCTTGAATTTTTGGATCTTGCCGCTCGCCGTCTTGGGATAGTTGTCTACCCAAAAGATGTATTTCGGAACTTTTTAATGTTAGCCTGCTATGCCGTCTTCAGTGTTGATATCTACTCACCCAAATGATGGCTTAGCTTTTCCCTGACCCAAGTCCTCACCTCATCGGCTGTTACTTTTCCATCTTCTCCAGCATGTCTTACTATAAAAGCTGCAACAACCTCGCCGTACCTCTCATCCGGTAGCCCGATGACACTGACTTCGCTGATGGCCGGATGGGCGAAAAGACAATTCTCAACCTCAAGCGGATGAATGTTCTCTCCGCCCTTGATGATGAGGTCCTTGATTCTTCCAGTGATCTTGATGTACCCTTCCTCATCCATTGAGGCCTCATCGCCAGTGTGCATCCACATAACACCGTCCTCGTCTGGCTGAAGAACTTCTTCTGTGCGCGCCGTGTCGCCCCAATAGCCTTTCATAAGGAGATATCCTGAGACAGCTAGTTCGCCACGCTGGCCTATATCGAGCGTTTTCGACCAGTCTGAAGCGTTGACGACTTTTGCGCGAACATGTGGGAGAAGCCGGCCTACAGTGTTGATGCGCTTCTCAATAGGATCATCCGTGGTTGTCATGGCTGAGACCGGGCTTGTTTCTGTCATTCCGTAGCATATAGTCAATTCTGTCAGGTTCAGAATTTTATGAAGCTTGCGCATGAGCTCAGCGGGAATGGAGGAGCCGGCTGCGATTCCAGTGCGTAGGTATTGGAAGCCTTCGTACGGTACCGCGCCATTGGCGAGGAGTTCCAGTTCCGCCACGAACATGGTGGGAACTCCATATAGGGCAGTACACTTGTGTTCTCGGACAGCCTCGAGAGTTGCAAGAGCATTGAAAGCTTCGGTGGGGAAGACTATGGCGCTTCCGTGAGTCGCCGTGGCCATATATCCAAGAATGCATCCGAAACAGCTGCGGATAGTTAGACTTTGTGTCATCCATCTTGTATGCGACGACTCACTGAAATAATGGAGGTGGGCAACAGACGATGTCGTTCTCTGTCAGCAACATCCTATCACCGATACTGTTGCCATTATTCAAAATACTCCTATGGGTCAAGCACGCAGCTTTTGGCATACTGGTTGTACCCGAAGTAAACTGGATGTTGACGATATCGTGAGGGTCGAGTCCTTGATCCTGTAATGCCGAACCCTGGCCACCATCCTCAATTACATCCTGATATTTTCCTAGGCACTTGTACTCGTCCAAATTTATCCTCCCTTGGGCATTGTCTACCACCACGACCTTCTTTAGCGAAGGAACAAGCTCCGACTCGAGTTGCGAACCGGCAAGATTAGGTATCAAGTGTGTGAGTAACGAAATGTTGGGGCGCGGGTCTTTTCGTGGAAGGTTTGTCTCAGCTCCAATTATCAGATGCGAAGCGTCTAAGTGGTTGATGGCGTTTAGGACTTGTGGTGCGTTAAAAGAAGGATTGAGGGGTACCTATAAGTCGATTGGTTAACGATCAATCATCCATATCCCCAGCCTCATACATACCAGTATTGCTCCCAGTTTGAAAAGTGCATACGCGATCTTTATAATCGTCAGCTATCGTTCTTCACAATTACCCATACAACATACGGTAGCAAACTCAATATTGTTTCCCAAGCTCACTGCAACCCTGTCTCCCTTCTTGACCCCCAGATTCTGTAATCCTCTTGCTACTCTGTTCGAGTCGCAATCCAGCGCATCGTACGTCAGCCGTATGCGCTGATGGTGCGAGATAACCCTATTAGAGGCTTAGCCAGGACTATGTCAAGATTGGTCAAGGAACACGCACGCATCACGGTCACCATACTGTCTCACAACACCTGCAAAGTGCTGGGGAACAGTTTGTTCGAGCAGTGGAGGCTGTGCCGTGCCATTAGCAAAGCCGAGGGCTAGTACGTAGAATTGCGGGAAAAGGGTCCAATTGACGTAGTACGTACCTCGGTAGGTCCAATGCTATATGCTTGCGTGAGGAGCCCTCTTTTCGCAATTCGCATAGGATTAGGGCATCTTGTAGCGCGGCAAACGAGCTTCCGAAGCATCTTTAATTGAAGAGAGCATCAAGAAGCCGGAAAAAAGAAGGACAGACATGGCTGGCATCGGTCTGAGGTGGAGAAGAGAGGGATGGGCCTAGTCTGTGCTGCTTGTCGGAACTGAGCCGCGGCCCACAGTCCCGGACGGACATGCGGGGTAGCTTCCGAGCTGTGGCATCCCCCTCCTGCTGGGCCACACTCCCCGGAGAAAACCGTCTATACGCCAGCATTATATGACTATTTCTGATTGAGTATATCAACTATACATGTGTTCTCTGAAGTGGCTGGATACGGTATTCCGGCTCAGAATTAATGCAGTGGTCAAACAACGAGAAATTACGAAACCTTCTTCGACATTAAAACTTAAACTCCTTCCCACAATTCGGGAATGTCGAAACAAATTTAGCTTGGATATCAAAAGGATATTTGAAGATCTCGGAGGGTCTTTTGAATCGGAGAGGGTGATAATATTATACTTACACTTGTTTTCTTCTTGTACACTCACGTGCAACATCATCGGCTTGCACCAGCCCCCTATGCAATGCAGCTTTTTCTCCTTGTGGAATAGAACACACTTAAGACCGACAAAATCTTGTAAACTTTAGCATTCGTCCTCACCAATGCGGGTGATAGATATGTCATCTTCAGGGGTTTAACAGATTAAGTTTCACTGCCATCAGGGACTACTTTCGTAACAAAGGCCGAAACTTCATTACGGATATACAACGACCGCTCAAATCAGCTAGACTGGCCCCTTTTTTCCCAATTACCGTATATAACAAATTTTCGATGATCTTTATACCGAATGTTCTGTCTTAGATACGTACTCTGTCCAAAGTGGAAGTAGGTGATCATTCTGCGGAGCTACGTCTCCAGTATGTACTAGATATCATGGGAAAAACTTTGGGTCCAGGTGGTATCGACGACCTTAGTTGATGATTAAAGCATGGTGTCGACGACCTCAGTTGATGATCAAAGCATGGTATCGACGACATCAGTTCATCATCGAGTGGTGTCGACGATATCGGTTCATCATCAAGGAGTGATATCGGCCTTATCAGTTGACAACTAAGGGGTGGTATCGGCGGTGTCGGTTGATAATCATGAAATTCCCTTTTCGATGGTCTGAGTTGATAGTGACGAAGACGCTTTACTAGCGATGCAGACGCAGATCTCAACACCCTAACCCGATTTTGTACCATTTTCACGTTCGAATTCCGATTAGCCAAGAAGGATACTACGGCGTCGTTACGATCTCTAGTTGCCGATTCTGATTGTAGCGTCGTACGTCCATCATTGTCCTTCTCTTCCACGTCCGCTCCGGAGTCCACTAACAGTTGAATGACTGATGAGTGCTTGCGCCAAGCTGCCTTTTGTAAGGCTGTCTGACCATATATGTCCTTGTCGTTGATATGCGCTCTGTCGTTTAGCAACAATTGCACTACTTCCTTATTTCCTCCCCAACTCGCCTTGTGTAACGCCGTCTGCTCGTTTTCGTCTTTTGCTCCAATGTCTGCCTTTCGCTCAATTAGCAATTTCACCACAGTGAAGTGCCCGCCCCAAGCTGCTTTGTGTAGGGCCGTCTCCCGATACCTGTCCTTCACCCCAATCTTTGCTCCACAATCAACCAACATCTGCACTGCAGCCTCGTGTCCCCACAAAGCCGCTTTGTGCAGTGCCGTTTGTCCAATTTTGTCCACCACATCGAGATCTGCTCCTTTTTTCGCCAATAGTTCTATTATAGCTACATTTGCTCGCTCAGCTGCCCAATGCAAGCCTGTTCTCCCATTATCGTCCTTACTGTTGATGACAGTACAAAGCCACTAACGCATCTGAGATACCCGACGCATCTCGAACGACCAACGCCGTTTTATTAACATCGTGATCCAAGGGCGGATATCTAAGAGACATGAAATGTGCAGCAAGGGTGGAGCAGCCACAGAGCGAAACAACCCCTGTTCATAAGAAGCCCACCAATACTTCCGTGTATCAGAGTCCTTCATGAAAAAGGGCCCTTTGTGATCGAATAACCGAACTGCTAACGATGAACAACTCCTTGCATGCTCGGGCCACCATAGTATTGAGTATCGCAACAA